CTTCTGATAGATGATAAATCACTGTTGACTATTATTATTGCGTTTCAATACCGCGACATTGATTTACTCTCCGGTTGTCGCCTTCGAGGCCATTTTTAATTCTATCTCGGATAGTCAAGAAAACGGGGAAACTTCAATGACTTCTGCGACAGAACACTTACAAAAATATTTGAAATATTAAAAATGAAGATAAAAACTAGAAGGGTTAGCGATAATAAAAGCAAAATATTGCCGCGGTTAATTACTGTCAAATTATTGATAAAAATAACAGTAGTACTATTTGTTCTCGAGTTTATTCTCGAGATGGACAAAGATTCGTCGCTCGGACTAGGTCAAATTGTCAAACTATCTCGTAACAACTGCAGACGTTTAATTTTCAAAAGCTTTATGCTCCACATTGTCAATGAATATCAAATATTTTATAGAACAATTTAGAAAGGAGCCACAATATAAATTTTCACTACGGCAACGTAGATGAACGCTTTATAAGAAATTTAATTTTACGCTCTGTCTTTGCCAGAAACTCATCGTCAAAATTATTCTCGACTCTCTCGTAGATTCGAAATAATGAAAATTCCAAATTAGATTGAAATGCACGGCGGGGAAAACGGAGGATAATTTTCCTCTTTCCTCGAGGTTCTCGCGTACCGTCTGCATTACGAGCGACATAAATCACGAGCATGCACGCGAGTGTGAGTGGGCGGAGAAACCACATGGTACCATCACAACCGCGCGCCATAAATTTGGTACATATTCATTGTGGTTCGCTTCAACGATCTGAACTCGATGTAACCCGCGTGTTCGGTGGCCTCCCCTTCTTCTTCTGCTCTATTAAAATATCTCTTTTTATTTCTTGTATATCCGCGTAATGCACACTACTACTCGGCCCGAATATATATTTAAGATGAATTTTTTTTTAACGATTTGATCTACGCGCGAAAATCCGGCGAAAAGAAAAAGCGACGGGACCAGGTGTAGGCCCAAATTGCGTAGCGGCTGGCCGGCGATATCTCGGATCTCGCAATTACTTTTCAGCCACGAAGCCAATCTGGCAGAAGTGCGATCTCTTGACCGCTTTGGAAGTTTTCGACGCCCTACGCGCCCTTCCCTTGTGGCCTCAAAGTCTCAAGAATCCTACGATCAATTGAACCCTGCCAGAGGGAGGTAATTCGCGAATTTATGTAGTATACGATTGAAAGAATCGTCGGATTTTCTTCACAATTTGCGTTTGCAATATTAATTTGACAGTTATGTACCTAATGTTATTTGTTATATTTATTTATATCATACACGTTTAGTCGATTCAAAAAGAATTTCCCTTGGTTGATTACCACTGGCGCCAAAAAGCTACTCAAATTGATAATCTAAAAATGTATTGTATTATACATTTAGTAATATCTTGCTCAACCATTCGTTCTATTATGACACAAATGACAACTGCAGCAATATCTTACTGAAACTTCACGCTCCACTCGTGTGTTCATACGAGCAGCGGCGTCTCACACTGTTGCGAGATAACGGCGTTTAAGAGATGTCAAGACGGGTGAGGGATCGTTTCGCCAGTCATTGTTTATGTAGCCAATTATTGTGCCATTCGCTCGCCCCGTAGGGGTAGCGTATCGCTTACAACAAATCAATTTGAGGCACATCTCGCCCCGGGCAAGGGGTCTCGCTTAAACATCGCCGTCCCGCTGCGCGGACAATGCTCTTCGCCTCGAAGCGGCGCGAAACGTCCCATAGTGCCCTTTCTTGATGCCGTCTTTTCGCCAGTATTCACAAATGCTTACGCTATCCAGATAGCAGCGACGGATATGTGTAAGGAAGGCGGTGCCAATAATTTAAAAAATATATATAGATGACAAATTAAATTGATTGAAATGTGTGGCGAAAAAAACCCTCCCTAATTTGTCGAGTTTATACGCGGAAAGAATGTTCTCTTAAAAGTTACCCTGAAAATCGTGCGATCGTGGGACAATGTGGCGTTTTGAAAAACTTTATGAGAATTTTCTGAAATTTTATCATACATTTTATTAGTAATTACACTTCGTATACATTTTACTAATAAGATGTACGGTAAAATTTCAAGACTCTCATAAAGATTTTCAAAATGCCATATTGTCCCACGATTACACGATTTTCGGGATATATTTTAAGAGAAAATTCCCTCCGTGTAGATATTTAATGAAGAATAATATTCCTTAATTGAGAAAGTGACACGATTTCACTTCTTCCTAATGTAATTATACATATAACCGTGCTTCAAATAAGTCGCGTCGCGCTTTCTTTAATCAGTCATTACTTTGCTTATTTAGGAGTTGATTAATATAATCGATTGACATAATTTATGTTTGAACAACAGCAATGTGTTAGATCGTCCAAAAATTTTCAACGAGCAGAGAAACGGACAAATGACGATGATCGTAAAGCATTGCTTATCTGTAGGTTGCGCTCGGGACGGTGAATTGAATGCCCGAGAACAACGCGTTAATGAGCACGGCCTAACGATTTTACGGCGTTGTTAAACGCAGGAATACCTATTTATATGGCGCATTTTAACGACCGATGTCGTGTTTCGATATACTTCGGTATTGCCTAGCACCGACATCCCCATCGTTCTATCTCACTTCCAATCGGTCAGTGCGCTCGAGATTAGGAATCTATTAACTGCCGCACCTTCCCATTCTTTTCTCGTGATACCGCAGGATGCTGATAGCTGATTAAATTCTTGAGGAATCTCGTAAAGCACTTCAGTAAGGAAGTTAATTTGGGATGGTAATGTAAAGGGCGATAAGAAAATTTTAATTACTCACGAACGTCGCAAAACTAAGAACATTAATTAAAACTTCCCTTTCCTTTTCTCTCTAAAAGATCGTAAAAATGTTTATGTAACCCTCTTTCCCGTGATTTGATTTGATCTGATTTTATTCTCCTATTATATTTATTTATAATTATTGGTGCTAATAATGATACTAATTGCGTGCTAATTACTTTTTACTAATTAAAGGAAATGTTTTTCTTGAAATTTAATAATTTCTCTAAATGAGACTATCAGCAATAGTTTTTCGACACAACTGCGATCAATCTAATTAACTATTAGAGCACGTCTAATTGACGAGGAGTCGCTAATCACGGATAAAATAATTAATGACGGTCGTGCCGCGAGAATCGATCACTGACCAAGTCCTGAGAATGCACCCTTGTACGAAGTGTATATCGCCGTCGTCCGCGTCACGAGATTCGCGCAACTAATTAGTATGCTAATTAAGCGGCGCCGACGTCTTTAAAAGAGTCGGCGCTATGCTTCCCATTCGGTTCCCCTCGAGGTCAAACCCTTTTCTTCTCTTATCCTTTCTTGTGACGGCAAGTTAGCGGAAAACAGGGGGCCCAAGGAGATCGTTTTTATGTTTCACGAGAAACGACCCGTCAAATGGTTTACCACGGGGTACGTTAAGTCGAAATTTTATACAATTCAGTTTTAAATTGTATGAAACAAAATTTATGTTATAATATATCTCTGTCTTCATGTATCTTTTCCAGAAAATATTGTTTCTGTGTGAAAAAGCATTATAACAATTATATAAAAATCAATTAAAATAAATGTTATTGCTAGAACGAGACAGGAACGCTTAAGAAAAACATTTAAAAATATAATTCTGGGAAACCACAGAAATTTAAAGATTTCCCACGATTATAATCATGCGGTTACGTGTTTTTTTTTTCTAGACGGGATTACGGTTGTTTGTTCGTTCACAAAGACACCGCTGATATATAACATCCCGCGAAGGTGGATCGCGTCATAATTTTCCCAGGGGACAACATCGCCACGATAAAGCCATTAATTGGGACCTTAACTCCCATTTGCGAATTAAGCGTTAGAGTTCCATGAATGTGTTTAACGACATCGATTAAGAGCCACTTCGAGAGAGGGCTTGTTAATTAAGACGCCTTAATAAGATCCTCTTTTCTTTTTACTGTTATCGTACGTCACACTCTCTCATACGAATTGCGCCCGTATATTAACTGTACTTTCGAATTGAATTTCACATTTTAATTCCAAGATTATCGCTGCCTCAGAGTTATTCATCAAAATACTGATGTTAATTGAAAGTATAAATTCCAATTACACAGATTTATGCGCCGTATGTGAGGAGTACAATGCTTTTCGTGTACAAATTGTTAGAAGTTTAATAAATATACCACATATTATACATAACGTATTGAGGAGTTAACTTAAAAATATATTTTACATTATTATTAATTTCATTATAATATTAGAGAGATTGCTCTTGTTTTTGATGAGAGAAATATAAAGAAAGAAGATGAACTGTTTCTTATGTACCTACATAAAATAAACTTCTATTGTATTTTGTATCGTGCATATTTCTGTGTGTTTGTATATAAAGAAACAGATAATTTGCCAGCGGATCTTTTCGAAATAATACTCGTAAGACCGAACAGAGAATTTTTTTTCGGGCAGTTCTCACGACTTTTTATCCCAGCTGAATAAGTGAAGAGGTCTCGTTACGAGAAGTCGTAACCCCCAGTGTGTCGGTGGTGGCTGAGCAATTTCGATGTCGAAAATCTACGCCGCGGCCGCGACGAGAAACAAAAAGGAGTTAATTCGCGGCTTTAAAGCACGAAGGAGGACGTTCCCGTTCCCACGTCTTTTCGTCGGACCGCGACCTCGGCACGCAAACTCGCATCTCTCAGGGATCTCTCGGGAATCCTCCAAGGGATAATCGATACCGCGATCGCTTCCTTGTTTATCTTATCAGTTGTTATTTTATTAGTCAAAGTGCTAATATGTAGCTAAGCGTAACTACTGCTTAACTTTCGCATTCTTGCGTTTTGTGCAACAAGCACAAAGCGAATGATTACTTGTCGGATGTGACCGTTTCCTTATTTAAAACATGAATAAACCAACGGATAAAAGCCTTGCTTTAAAGCAAATACAGCGAACTAAAATATGTTATATGTAGATTTTTTTTTTAAGTGCTTACCGTCTGAAACTTGTCTGCAAAACCTGATGAACATTATCTAGCTTGTGAAAGACTGTTCCTGCAACAAAGAAACAGATTGTAGTTTAAGAAACCCAATTTAAATATCTCTCGTGTGTATATTAATAAAACACTGTAACCTGCAACGAGATTTCTCTTTGCCTTAAAGCGGAATGTTGGTAGAAATGTGGCATTTTTAGATAGAATATGGAACTTAAAAATTAAAGTTATATTCTCTCAGCGCTCTTCTCCCAACGCTCGTGACGCTCGATTTAATCCGACGCACCGTTTTTACTTGACACGATGGAAATACGTAATTGCATTATTCTACGTCGCAGGACTAACACTCGCGAAACGGTAGCGATCGGACACGCTCGTAGGACACCCCGCGATTACACGGGATCTGCAGCCGACTATCAAAACTCATTAGACTCGCTAAAATAATCCTGGAATATAGGGAGGATAAGGGGACAGCCGCTCCGCTTGGCTCTAGGCGATGACGCGGCTCGAATGGGATGTTTCCTTAACGCTAATGGACTCGGCAACTAATAATTACGAAATCCCCTTGACTAATAGGTAACGACAGGTGATCTACCTTCAACCGGTGGCCTCGAACGCCAGTGGATTTCACGCTGCAACCTGCGGATTTATCATTTTAATTGCGCTGCATTATGTTGAGCGCGCGATTCTTTAGACACGTCAAGTAATTTTAAACGCTCTTTAATTCTCTTTCAAATTACATGTGCATGCGTGTGCGCGCATGCAAAGTTCACTAATTTGCAACGTACGTATTAACGTAAATTGAATAATATTAAGTAAAGTTTAAAGTAACAAATGCAATTACGTATATAATTAAATTATGTACTACCCAATCCTTAAGTTAGTATGTAAAATGAATGGCGCGTTAATGTTTAATATTGAAAAGGTCACGAGACACTCGCTCATTTGTAAGGTATCCGCGGGGCATGTTTACTTCGCGTAATTGCGTTTGACAAGAGCGTGAGGATACGGCCGTTAATTAGTATCGCTAATTACGCGGAACACGGCGAAATATCACGGACTCGGTATGCCCTTCTTTGCCCCTGCCCTTCTCCTTTACTGTACGTCTCTTCTCTCCCTCTATCCACTTTGTCGCATATAAGTAACAGATTAATGCCGGTGATACCGAGCTCGGGTAGTCGGCAGCTTATGCAAATGCGAGTTCAAAGTTTATAACATCTAATTAAGTACATTAGCGTATATCGTGGAAACTTAATAAAATTCAGCATTCGGAGACCGGTTCCTGTAGTATTTTAATCGACTCGCGAAGAGAAGATGGGAGCTTCCAATGAATTCATTAGATATCGGCAAGTTAACTTCTTAATTTTTCTCATCTCAAAACGCAAAATGGAAAGGATAATTCAAATTACTATCTTTAATTGCTTCTTCTTCCAGTTTTTTCAATAGTTTAGCGAGAACAAAACGGTGAAATTAAAGTAAAGGACTAATTGTAAGAGCCGTGGCAGTCCTTTATTCCTTCAAATTTGTGTTTATCACATTTGAGCCATACGAATCTTATTAATTTGTTAAAATAAGAATCAAAGTACAACACAAACGATCTTCACATTATAACTAACTGTAAAATAAGATTCTCTAACTACTTAATTCCGTTATAATTCAAAGATATTTTACTCTGATTTTTTTCTCTTTCTCTAGACGAGATGTGAGACTACCTTTAACATCTACTTGTGGTTTTACGGAGTGAGCAAGGAGCACGTATAACTGGCTTAACTTGCGGACATGACTACGAAGTGCAAGCAAAGTCGGAAGTAGCTGCTTAAAAAAGTCAATGGGAAAAGTCCAGTTAAATTCTCGTTCCAGCAGGAAACCCGAAAGTGAGTTAGGGCAACATATATACCGCACGCATGCATGTACCGGTCGGCTATTTGACATAACCAGTTCAAAGCTGCCGGCAAGGACGCTACGATCCTTCTCTTTCCTTTCCTTCTCTTTCTTGTCTTCCTCCCAGTTCTCTTTGTCCCACTCTGTCCCTCGATTGCTGGAGACAATCGATTCCTAACCAGCGCAATCCACGGTAACCACGAAATTGTTATCATTCAAAAACATGGTCTTCTAGATTTAAATTGTAACCATCATATTAAGTCGCACGAGCTTTTTCATCAATACAAGAGTACAATCCTCTTTAATAAAATTTTTTATCTAGTTTCTAAACTGATATAATTATAGGATATTAAATATTATATAAAAGAAATATTTAAGAATTTTCTGTAACACAAAGTTTAAATTTGTCATTGATATCGAGATAAAATATCGAGTGAATGTAAGATCTAAATTAAATCAAGTAATTTCGGAATTATTCGGAAACACCCTTCTTATTCTTCGTATCTTCTCTATGCATATATCGTGGGTACGAAAATGACGGAAATGAATAACGCGATACGACTACCTTTGTAGCGGTAAAGAGACACCAGGAATCGCACGTCGGATACGGTTTAGCGTTCGTTAGCCTCTTCCATGAGGACCGGAAGCCAGTCCTCTCGCCACGAGAGAGGTGAACGTCCGAGGGTTCCCTTTAGCCGAGCACCGTTAATGAAACCATGAGATATATTCTTGGGGATGATCTCCCTGCCGTGTCTGTTTAGAGATTGATATTAAACATCAATCCATATGAGGTAAAACGAGAGATCGATCAAAATCTCAATAAAACCTTAATATAATCTTGATTGCACCGCAACTTAAATTTTGATCCTAATGAAATTTAATTCTACTAATTTAATACAGTTTTTAGTTTAGTTCTATTATTCATGACTAATTCAAAGTTGAGCTGTAACGGCGCTTTCAACGAGCACGCCGTACAAGTGGTGGCCATAAGGCTGTCAACGGCGGCCTTGATTTTTCAGGACGTTAATACACTAATGATTATACAGGTTGGACCACTTTGGCGTGGCCTACTTCGCACGGACGTTGGGGTACGTCGCATTTAAAAGAGAACGCGTGCATAAAGAATGCGTATCACGCTAAAAATCCGCCGACACTGGAATTGTGCAACAATTTGGCACGAAGCGACAAATAAGTACGCCAAGACAAAGTTTGCTTGGCGAAAGAATCTGCTGCGTTTCTCTCCAGTGTGTCATAATTATCGTACTTGTATATTTCTTCGTTGCGCATTTTTATTGTGTTCTCAAGTGAACGGGTATCAACTTGAGATTCGATGAAAAGTCCAATTTCAAAAACACAAAAGATTTCAATAAATATATCATTGCCTCTTTATACATTATTGCTGAGACTTTTTTCTGTAAAATCTTATGCATTTTCTACTGTGCGCCAGGCTACTACTCTTGGCTCTTTATGTTTGAGGGCATATTGTGTACGTGTGCATATGTACATTCAAATATGCTGTTATAATAAACATTATATTTATATATATTTAACATATGCACTTATTATAAGTATGTGCACATATATTAATTTTTTTTATACATTATATTCATATACCCTTTTTTCAAATTTTCTATTTAAGTCGAGGCCTCCGTTTCTAGTATAAACACATGTACATATGCGTAAACATACAATGTATATATACATTTTGTGGAATATGAGAAGATACACATTCCCGACGAAAGTTCGTCTGAAGAGATGCCCGCGTGTACAAACACAGGAATATTTTATCAGAGACTCCACGCAATACATCTCCGTATTCATCGGGGCATGGTCGTGAAACCGAGAAGAAAGGACTCCTGGCCATTATATTTTTAGACTCATTCAGATTCAACCAATGATGCGTAGCAGACGTGGCATACGACGAACTACCGAATGAAAGTTTAATGGAAGATTTCTCTTTGTGTCAATAACATATTATACATATTAATTCTCTTTCGGTTGTCCGATGTCAGAACTTAAAAGGACTGCAAACAGACTTTTAAAAGTCTGAAGCATAATCAAATGAAAAATACACAACTCGATATAAAAAATAAAGAGTAATAAATTCGCAAATAGAAACGAAGTGGCAAGGAAAGATGACTTAATTGTTTCGGTGAAATTTTCAGGGATGTTTTCTGTCCGATTCGATATAAATTATCGATATGACGAGACAGATTTTTCTGAGAAAATTTCAAAAATACGTTTGAACAATTTTCTTGATACTGGCTGTATTGATTACTTTACGGTTTGATGAAAAAAAAATTATTTTTCAGTAAATCGGCACACGTTCCCAGGTCGAAGATGCCCGTTGCGTATATCTCGTCGTTACATTTCAACGTTGATACGTCGCTCGAGCGGGGATTCTCATTAATTATCGGGCAGATTTTGAGGTACGTCGTGCCTCGTTAAGCCCACCACCGCGCGATCAATCTCGAGCAGGTCTCGTCAGTCGCGCAACAAAGAACCGGATCGCGCAAGTTGAGCAAGAGAATACTCCAAAGAAAAGGAACGGACTCTCTTTCCCCGCGATTTAACCCTTCGAAAAGACACCGTTAAGTTATTTCATTATTCCATGTGGACACCGGCAAATTTGTAAATTACAAATAGACATTGACACAACATTCTGTCATTCTAAAAGATTGATTAAAAAATTTTTTGAAGTTGAAATTATTTTTGGAAGAAAATATTTTCAATAATGTTCACAACATTGTGTTCTACAATCAAATATTTTGATAGCTTAATAATCTTTTTCAAGGTATCTTGAACTTTCTTCTTTTTCCACTTACGATTGTTAAATTTCGCAATTAGAAACAAACGTGAAAATTCTCGTCGAAATGAAAACGTGGTAGTTTTATTTTAATTTGTTGTTAAATTAATTATTATTCTTAGCAATGTATTAAATTGGTTATTTTACTTGTTAATATTTTGTCTTACATATCACCGCGCTGATATATTTGAATTTGTGAATTCGGAGCGAGCCAGACAGAGGAAAGAAGGATTCGAGTTTCGGCCGCGAATCCTGATGAGATCCTTGTGCGATGCGAGAGGTCGAGATCTGCCTCATTAACATTCGCCTCTTTGTCTCTGTCGTTCTTTCCTTTACGATCGTCTTGCTCCCTGAGAGATCTCGTCTTCCTCCTCCTTCTCTTCTTCTTTCCCT